TTTTTGTTTATACTACATAAAGTAAAATAAAATTTAAAGAAAAACAAAAGACAAAATCAGACACCTTTAAAAAAATTTAATAGACACAGTATAAATTCAAAATATAATTCACCCAGTTTAGTAAAGGAAAGTGCTACAAATCTAAGCTTTTCAAACCCTACATTAAGAATTATTCAGAAATTTGATAGTATTATGAAACACTAGAAAACCTTATATATAAATAAAACAATTTTGGTAGAATCCTAGAGGAGAAGCAATAATATTATAATGGTAGATATCAATTAAAGTTGAGTTTCTTTGAGGAGGAATCTTGATACTGAAGAATTTCTAATTTTTAGAAATAAGAGATCTTTACATTTTTCCTTGTAAAAATTTGTCAATTATGGACATCTTCCAATAAATAGTACAGTATTTTAAGTGAATGAATACCTAAATGCTCTACTTAGTTGTAATACAATGAGATTTTTCTCCATACACAAGTATATAATTTACTACAGCAATAAACTGCAATAGAAACAAAATAGTAAAATTCAACAAAGCCACTGCTGTAGATTGACTTGTGCCCCCATAAACACACGTGCAGTCAATCCTAATCCTGGCACCTATGAATATGATTTGATTTACAGATATGATTCTTGAAGATGTGATTAAGATGCAGGTTAAGATCCAGTCACACTAGAATACAGTGGGCCTTTATTCCAGTATTACTGGTGGTCTCATAATGAAATGAGAAGAAGCTGGGTGTGGTAGTGCACACCTACAATCCCAGTACTTGGGAGGCTGAGGCAGGAGGATCGCCAGAGTCTGAGGTCAGTCTGGGCTACATAAAGAAGTTCGAAGCCAGCCTGCACTGCCTAGGGTCTCAAGATAAAACAAACAAACAAACAAACAAACCAAAAAAAAAAAAAAAAGACGGACAGACATAGGGAAAATGACAGGTGAAGTCTGACTTAGAGACTAGGGTGTTACACGTAGAGCTACAGAATATCATGGACTATCAGAGGAAACAAGGAATGAAGACAGCAACACAGTACAAGATTCTCTCAGAAGGTACCAGCCTGGATGATCCCTTGATGCTGAAGATAATAATTTCTGTTGTCTGGAGCCACTAACCTTGTGGTGCTTTATCATGACCTACTTACACAGGAGTAATAGGTGAAAGCGTTACTTACGAGTTGATGGGGTCATACTTTTGAGCTCCATACATTGGTGTTAGTTCTGCACGTTTGATCACTTTCTGAGTATCATGCAGAAGGAACATGCTGAAAAGAACTAATCCACCATACACTGCCACTGTGTACAGAGTGGAACCAGCCACAGTGGTAGGTGGAATAAACATCGATCCTGAAACCAAAATCAAGAAAAGAAGTAAGATTTTGTGTCTTTTTAAAAAAGAATTTCCCAGACCTAGATTTCTATTTTGAGACATTGTCTGTTGTTTTTTTTTTTTTTTTTGGGCGGAACCAGGGATTGAACTCAGGCCCTTGTACTTGCCAGGCAAGCACTTATTCAAGGAGCCATCTCCCCAGCCCCTAGATTTATACACTATTTAAAAAGCTCTTTGGGGAGCAGGACGATTGCTGTGGGGCTAGCCTGAGCTACCTGGTGAAACCCTGTCTCAAACCTCCCCATACCCGCCCCCCTCCCCCCCAAAAAATCTCTTTGGTATACCTTGCAGAAAATATGACATTTCAGGCTTGTGGGCTACAATTATATTTACAACAGAGTTCAAAGGAGGTGGCATGTACCCCACAATTCAGGAAGGTTCTTACACCAGGGCAATCCCTATGTTGTAAGACCATTTTAGATGCATCTGTAAAACCAAAGGTAACGGCTGGCGGTATGCCAAGGTTTAAAAGAGATCAAACAACAAAAAGCAATCAATTAGTACATCTTTAAACATGATTCTTGAGGAATTAAGGTACTTACTTCAGAACTTAAAGAGCACAGGAAATCAAGGCCTAAGTGTCAAAGGCACAGCAGCTTACCTAGTGATGCTGCGAAGACGAGACCCAGGCCCACGCCCAGGGGTGCTCCCATGTTCAGGAACTTCTCACTGGGTGCACACATGGCCACGGTGGACAGGCCGCCCACGATGCCAGCAGTGCACCATGCAGCTCTGACAAGGAGAGGGCCGCCCAATAGGGTCAGAGGTGCCACCACTGCACCCATCACACCTAGGGAAAGCACGTATCATTGGTAAGCATCAGTAGGACCAACCAAAGGAATACATTGCTTTCGATGTGTTCCCTGGAGCCGCTGCGCTGCACTGCACTGCACTGCTACACATCGTGATCCTAAAAGGTTTTCCCTCTTGATGATACAACACTCTGCTTCATAACCCAAACTGTAACTATCCAAATTCTGTATGACACCATTAATATATTCCTACTCAAATGGTTTTGGCTCACTAATCTGTATTTTTAGTAACTGCAAAGTTCCATGTGTTTTCAACATGTAAAAATCCAGATAAAAAGTTTTAAAAAAATTCTAGGTCAACTCTACTGTTACCAATATAGAGAATAAAGTAAAATGAGAGGAAAAACAAATGATAGTAAACTGGAAATGCAGGAGGTTCCTGACAGACCCTGTAGTTACTCTGTGCGCTAGGGAATATATTCACAGCTTATAAAATATTAGTTATCCTATTTTTCAAACATTTTCATAGAAAATCAAAGTAGGAAAAACACAAATTAGCAAAAGTACATGAGCTCTTTAATTAGAAAACCACTTTGGAGAAGGCACTGTTTCAATGCTAAGCAGAACAAATTACCCTCTCTTAAGCATAGTCTTAGAACAGGTACAGAGCTACCTTCATCCTCAAATGAGTGCATCTCTTGGGCAAGACTGACACTTGTAGAGGAAGTAATAAGGGCCACTCTTCTCCATGAGGATGAGAGCCAGCAGCCCGATGCTGGTGCACTCTTGTAGGCAGGACCAGCTGGCACATGGCAGAGTTGGAAGCAGCAGTGAGGTGTGAGTCAGCGATGGGTGAGTGAGGTTAACCGGTGTGGTGCTCCAGCACACAGACAAAACATGCTGAATGGGAGCAGGCAGGCAGAGCCACCGTTCTCTGTGGGACAAACTAGCAGGACAGTCCCGGGTGGCTTCACCCTTCACTCCAATGTTCCACAGTGCCATGAGGGAAGACCCAGCCAGTCACAGTATACTGCTGGCAGTGGGAGCAGACTATGGGAACTGTGCTGAGAAGCAGGAGCTGGAGTCACCTAGACACCACGGTGATGGCCACCAAAAGCCAGGGTTAGCCCTAAAAACAAAGGACTGGGAACACCCCCCAGTCTGAGACCAGCAGAGTGGCAATGCCACTTGGCCCAGTGGCAATAAGCAGGCAAACAGCTGTGGCCTGCAGTGGGACAATGACCAGTGTGTACAAGGAATCAGTGGAGACAGAGGACGCTGGGCAGGGCTTGGAAGGAGCCAACTGTGAAGGGTCTGGGAACCACCTCAGGTTTTCCCTACTCGAGGGCACGCAGTAACCAGGAAAGCACCTTAAGATACAATCAGGGTGAGAGGTGGATGTCCAGAATGCTGTGTGCTGAAGACTAGTCCCAGCCCCCACATCCAGAGGCCAAGGTCAACCTATACCCAGCACAAAGCCTACTACAAACTCAGCAGGAGTACACAGCATTTCTGAGATTCAATTTGGTTGCTACCACAAAAATGTGAGCACCGGAGGAATTTTGTTATTTTTCTTTATCTTTGTTTGATTGGCGTTCCTTATTATGCCAGGTTGTGTTTTTTATTATTTCTTTCTTTTCTATTTAGGCTTCTTACCTGTTTTGTTTCATGAAGATGGCTAACTTAAAAATACATGCTGCTTTGAGAAAGGCATTGGATAAAGGAATTCTACACAGGACAGTACTATTAGGATTCTCACAAATTTTGCAATTTGCAACAAGTTTTTAGTAACTTTCTGTATAAAGTTTTTCTGAAGACACCTTACAAAAGCAACTCAAGTGACATGTATCAGAGTCAACATCTTCCTGGTAACAGACAAAACACAGTAGTCAATGTCTACTTACTTGACACCATTACAAGGAGACAAGCTCTATTTTCAGAGTGTCTATCGTCTTAGAATCATTCTTTTTTTTTTTTCATTGCCATTTTAATGGAAAAAGAATATAAACTTCCCTATTACAAAACATACTTCACATTAGGTTTGCAAAGGAAATGTCAAAAACACTTATTTTACAGAGGGACGTTCAAGGCAAACTCCAGAGGACCCAGAGCCACGAGGATAAGGCAGCTCTCCAGAAGGGGGACAGGAGCCGTCCTGCTGCGGCGACCCAGAGAATCATTCTTTCAAAGTAAAGGTCTGACGATGGGATTACTAACTACTGCAGAAAATTATGTTGACTTTTTGTCAAAAGTCACTTACAATGCGCAGTCCTCTAAGCAGTCTCACAACTTAGAACATACCAGAATGGAGCAACCAGGCAAGATGCTTTTGGCCTGGATGTTTTTCATATGGTATGGATCGCACCAGCATTCCAGCTCCAATCATGGCTGCAAAAGTTGCACCAATTGTCTGAAAGATACATTATAAAGCAGATGGGATCCTTAAATAAAGGCAAAGCACAAACCCACAAGTTTCAAGTACAATTAGGCACTAAATTAGGTTGAAAAGACAATAAACTGAATCTTACATTTTTCTAGTACATTCTAGGCACTGGGTGTATTAGCAAGAGGGCCCCCTACTGTCAGATATGAGGTACTGCAGACAGTTTCAACTACAGGAGTGGAGTCCTGCCAGGAGCCATCATCTTTTAACAAGTTTACTCTTTATCAGAGAGGTGAAACAAGAACCTTGGAACTTCAGGGTGAAAATAACATTTTTTGTAGTAACAGGGATTGAATCCAAGGCTTCACACTCAGCCACATCCCTAGCTCTTTCTTAAAGCTTTGAGATAGGGTCTTGCTGAATCACTAAGTTGCCGAGACTGGGCCTGGACTCAGTGATCCTCTTGTCTCAGCCTCCTAGAGTGCTGACAATTACGGGCCACCACACAAAGCTTATTGATAAAAAAAATAGACTTTAATATAACTCAACAGCATTGAAAGATCAGATATAACCTACTAACTAAAGATAGACACAAAAACAGAACAGTGCCTTGAATTGCTTATTTGATAAAAAGCTGAAAAAGAAGGGGTAAATAAATACTATTCATAGGATATGAAAAATAGGGCTGCACAGAATCCACATTGCATCCTCCCAGATTTATAGCTATCTTGGTCCTTATTCCTTTTGTGTATCTTAAATTTTCATTGTTGTAACAAACGTTCTTTGTACATAACAAAAAGGATATAGCCAGGCATGGTGATGCACACCTGTAATCCCAGCACTTGGGAGGCTGAGGCAGGTGGATCACTGCAAATTCAAGACCAACCTGGGCTACAAAGTAAGTTTCAGATGCCAACAATCCCATGGGCACATAACTGGGTCATATAATGTCTGACCCCATGGGCAACAGAATGCTCAATCTCTAATACAAAGCTGTGTTTGTAGAGGATGAGAAAGTCCCAATACATACAGAAAATCATACTGGGTTCCACTTCATCACTGTCCAGTAGGAAAACAAAAAATCACTTCACATATCCTATGTGAATAAGGTTTTCAGATATTTTACTGTTATCCTTCACAATTCAGTCTACCCTGCCTTTCACCTTTCTGCAGTCTGTATTCCAGCTACGCTCAATAGGCAGAGCATATACCAAAGTTTCATTCCAGCTCTTTTTTAGGTTTTTGTTTTCAAATAGGGTCTTGCTGAGTTACTAAGGTGCTGAGCATGGGCTTGCACTTGTGATTGACTTGTCCCAGCCTCCTACTCGAACACCTCCATGCTAATCAGGTTCACTAACTAAGTCCTCATCTCAGCAGCTTTTTCTAGCAGTTAGTCACTCTCCACGCACCATCCACCCAGGTGTATCACCTCCAGACACTGCATGTTCACCCCTCGAGCACCAGTGTTAGGCTTCCCAACTATTTTACTGGAGCTCCCCGAGCAGTCGAGAGAGGTACTCTATTGCAGAGGGTTGAGGAAATGGCCCCCACACAACACTTCTTTGAAGTCTTGCACACTCAAGTCTTGCCATGTTCATTCTGTGCCTTCATGAACCTCTAGGCTAGGAGATTCAGGACAACCACTTGAAAAGTATAATCCTAAAACTACAGAAGTATCAAGCTGGGTGTGGTGGCACACATCTGTGCACTACTTGCAAGACTGAGGCAGGAGGACTGCTAAGAGTTTGAGGGCAACCTGGGCTATACAGCAAGTTCAGGGCTAGCCTAAGCTACACAGCGTGACTGTCTCAAAAAAAAAAAAAGAAAAAAAGTTAAAACTACTATGCTACTGTGGCTACTGTGAAAGAGAATGTAGTAGAAATGTCATGGATTTGGGCTCCCAAAAGGGTAACCTGTTACGAACCTATGTCTCTCTTCCCTCAGCTTCTCATTTACTGGTATAGTTTAGTTCCTATTACCCTTGATTCATATCTCACAAAGATACAACTAGCTGGCACACATGCTGCCCTGTCTCTTACACATCAGGTCCTAATACAGATACAAATGTTATCTCTGCTGTGCCAGGCTCTTTAAAGACGTCTGACGGCACAGATACTCACCTCAGCTTGGAAACCCAGCACGCCCTCTTCTTCCAGCCTCAGATTATGCAAATACTTGAAGCTCTACTCTAATGGGATTATAAACCCCCTTTCAATCTAGGGCTTCCTACCTCTTTCCCTTTGCTCAAGCTGTTTGGAAGATTAGGACTGTTCTTGTCAACTTCTAAAATAAAACGCACTGGCCTTCAACAACCCCAATGAAATGTGTCTCCTTCCTTAAACAGTCCAAGACCAAAACAATCTTTCAACTGATTTTGCACTTTCCACTTCCTACTGTGTATCTTTTAAAAATAATAATAAATGTTTATTGAAAAATAAGTACACTTTAACTTCATGGGAACAAAAACAAAACGTATCAGTTATGAGTACTGAAATATAGTGATAAATCTCACTACAAAATTTGTAAGACCTATGTACAGAAAACTAGAAAACATTACAGAGAAATTAAAAATTTGAAGAAACACTTTAGGTGAAACACTTGAATGTAGCAATTTTCTATGAAAACCCAAAATCCATTGTGTATCTTGTACAATTCATCTCTTCTATCAGCAGAAAAATAGGGCCCACATCTGAAATCATATTTTGGTATCTAGCAAAATAGCAAGTATTCAATTAGTACTTATTAAATATAAAATATTTTGTAAGGTTAATAAACTTAGGAATAATGTTGAATTATTCTACTCGTATAGCAGAATGCTTCAATATTTTTGATTAGTATTTTTCACTTATCTTTAAGATGTTTTTGAATTTGCTTTAATTTTTAGGGAACTGCTACATAATAGAGCCTGCCTGCCATTTATTGTAGTTAAGAACGATCCAATAAGTTTATGTATCATATTTGGTTCTATTAAAATGTATATTCAATAGAGAATTGAATTCAATAAATAGTAAGAATGTACTTTCTCCTCTGCTCAGCTAATTCATATGATCATATGAATTCATATGATCAACTGAGCAAAAATTTATCCAATTTAGTATTTTTCTATTTAGTACCCCAATACTTGACCTAATCATTTGATCTTTAGGCGGAAAGAGAAACGAAAACCAGCTTACTTACCACCCAAGAGCCTCTCATCATGAAGTTCATGAGAACAGGACTTCTAGCTACTGCCAAGGCAGACAAAGCTGTTAAACCAATACTTCCTGCCAAGTACATGTAGGTGGAATGTATCCTATCTCTCACATATTGAGGCCAAATTCTGTAACAAACACAGTGTGGTCAGTGCACAGAACAAAGGCTATGAATTCTGGCTGAATCATTTACTAGCTAGGTGACCTTGCAATTAAATCACTTTTAACAGTCATCTTATTTAATTAGTTTATTATGGAACAGTAAACATTAGCATAAACTGAGTTACCATAAAGATTACATAAAACATAAGCACTTGGCTTATACTAAAAGTAACATTCTTTCTTTGCTTAAACATATATAGCCTTTGTAAAAGATGTGGATATAAGCTACAATAAATATGTGCCAAAGAAGTACTCCTATACACACAAAGATAAAGCCTGGATATAAATATTTCAAAAGTGACTAAAAAGCTAAACAAGAAAAAACGTATTTTGTTTTTATGACCTTTTAAAGATTTTTGAGAGTAGTTTACTTACACAGCCTTTTCAATCGCTCCTATCTCGTTAGACATTCCCAAGCCATAGTAGCACAGTGCTCCAAGACCAACAGCAGCCCCTCCAGCAACAATATATCTTCCTAACTGTTCAACTGCAGAATACAGGAGAGAGTGCAAGTGAATACTGTCAGTCTCAAAGTGCAGGTAAGGCTTTAAACATTTATGAAGGGACACATCACAGCACTGTGTCTCCCTAACAGTCATAATCCACATGGAGACTATAAACATCCTCAAAGGTAGATCAACAGAAATGGACACTCCTAAGAATAAAGATGAAATAATCACAACAAGGAGAGGACCAGGCTTGATTAACCTTCAACCTCATTGCAACAATAGCTGAGGGCAGTGTCTGTAGACATGGATATATCTGTGATGCACATTACTTTATAAATAGCAGTCTGGGGTTTTTAGTAAAATAAAGGAAATGCCAGTCATCCACACCAGGTCTAAACTGGTATTAAAAAAAATATAAAGTTTTACATGGGGTCAAGAAAGAATAGGGGGAGTGGGGAGATGGCTCATGGAATAGGCGCTTCCCTGGCAAGCACAAGGGCCTGAGTTCAATCCCTGGTTCCGTAAAAAAAAAGAAAAGAATAGGGTAAAAGAAATGTCATCAGTGCCTATGCAGTAGACTTAAGGAAGGTGTTTTTATTTACAGAACTATCAACTTATCAGTTCACTTGCTTTCTCTTTTTGGTGGTGGTTTTGTTGAGATAGGGTCTCAGTATGTAATTCAGCCTGGCCTCCTGGCTGAACTTATGGTAAACCTTCTGCTACATCCTCCCAAGGGCTGGAATCACTGGCATGCACCACTCTGACCGATTACAACTTTTCCTTGATGGAAATCAATGCTGATGAAGAGCATCTTACTCCTTTCTAAATGTGTTGACTAAGAGTGTCAACTATGCTACTGCTATCTTATTTATGATTTCTTCTCTAGGGCCAACCTACTAATCAGAAACAACTACCTTTAAAAAAGAAAAAAAGAAAAGAAACAACTATTATAAGGATTCCTGATTAGGGCTCTCTTCACAATATATTGATACTGTAACATACTGACATTTATAAGACTATTAAGATGCACTAGTACTGCTGGTTAGGTTTCAGAAGATTAATAATCTAGTTTTAATGCTGCAAAGCTAGAATTCAAAATGTGAACCAAAGTGACTGACTTTGAGATGTGGACAGGTATTACAACACACCTAAATGAAGATTCTCCATAATTCCAAATGAATTTTCTTATAAAACTTTCAGATCATGGCCTGCTAATAATTTTATTCTAAAAACAGGTGAAAGTAAAACCAAACCCACTTCAAAATACTAATCTTTCTGAGGTCATCAGATCCTAGAATAGTAATGTGGCTGTTTACACCACCAGAAAATGCACATATGCGCAAGTTTGTGCTATCTTAGGAGGCTGTCCATGGTTAAAAACATTATGGGCTTCAAGTTTTTTAAAAGCTAAAGTCTGCCACCTACTTTTATATGCTTTTTCCATTGATGGTTCCAGTGCTGCCTCTTTGAGTTCTTGGGCAGTTTTCCCACGGCGGATTCCAAGTCTTGACCTGGTGGCATATTCCTGATAGCGCAAACAAAGACAGATAATCCACACCGAAACAATAAACAGAAGATCACTTTGTACTAGAACAGTCTGTTTACAACAATATGATGCTTTTTATAATGTAATGTCTGTACAAAAATTATCACTAGAAGTATTATACGTAGACCTACTTGCCCTGCATTTTCAAAGTGATACAGTAATTTAATATACACTTTTTAGTTTAAGTTTCAGAATACCTTTGAATTATAGATTTTACTCATATACCTAAAATTCTTGAATTTTAAGACTAACATTTTTTTTCTTTATTTTGATACAGCGTCTTGCTACACAGTTCAGACACTTTTTTGATCCTCCTGTGTCAGCCTTCCCAGTGCTGGGATTACAGGTTTCAGGAGCTGGCATGGCATGTGGTACCGAATCGAACTTGGGCTATTCCCCAGCCCTTTATTAACATTTTAAAAACTGCATTTAAAAAATAGCTATGTTGTTATCCAGATAATGGGCTCAACAAAAGTCCCTCTCCTGAAGACAAAGCAAAGGGGAGATAAGGCTACTGCCTTTGTTCTGGGTTTTTCTTAACATACCAACAGTTAACAGAAAGTTCTGTTTTTCTAGATGTTTATTCACCTAAATTATCTCACACCTTAAAAACTACTCCTTTGAATGTTAGAGTTGAAATGTGCTGTAAAAGAAAAAGGACTAACCTGACAAATTTGACAATTTTTTATAATCTTATAATTCTCCAATGAGAGCTGAAGCATTTAACTATAAGTCTCACGCATGATTTTCTACCATATAATTCTGTCTCAAGCATGATTTTCTACCATATAATTCTCAGATTACTTTCTGAGTAGAAATCCTAAGAGCCTGAAAGCAATGAAAAAGTTACCGTTTTTCATACAGGATAAAGAGGGGCCAGAATGACATAAAATTGGTGGAAAGAAAAGACTTGACATCAATATTACTGTTAATTGTTTCAATAAATTGTTTTAGTCACTAAAGGCAGGATGCTTCATATTCTGCTCAAACCAACCCAGTCCAACTCTCAAATCAGTCTTAAGGGCGTAAAGAAACACAGATAAACAATACAAAAACAGATTATTGCCAGGTGCAGTGGCACATGCCTGTTAATCCCAACATTCAGGGTTGAGGTTAAGGCAGAACTGACAGCTCAGGCCAGCCTAGGCTATACAGTGAGTTCAAGGCCAGCCTGAACTACACAGGAGACACTGAAAACAAATCCCTGGTATCCTTACTCTGCTGGGTGTTAAGAGCCATTGATTCTTTGTGATTGAATTCTTCACAACGGGAGAGGAGACCTTGGTGAATGCTGGGTGGAACACCCTAGAAGGTAGTGTCCGGAGACACACAAGCCTTGCAGCCAGCATAGTGATGTCCTGGTTCACCAAGAAGATCTGAAATGCTAGTTAGAAACACAAACAGAAAACAAAAACATTAAGAAAAGGATCCATAGAAGTAGACTAGAAAGACTCCCACCCCTCACCTGTTGGGAGGCTGTGGCAGGAGCATACACGAGTTTGAAGATAGCCTGGACTACAAAGTGAGTTCAAGGCCAGCAAAAACTGCACAGTGAAACCCCTCTTCAGAGAGGACTCTTCTGCTGATGCCTTCCAATTCAAGAATCCCACTCCAAAGAACCCAGTTCGGAGCTACCAAATTAAGTTTATAATCAGTCCGACCAACATGTATGACTCCATAAGTTATATGTGTACCACAGAATAAATGTTGCTATTCAGCAGTGATTACAGAGTCTGTGATTGCTTTTAAAAATGCAATTGTGACTTAAGCTTTATACCAGCATTTAATGGGAAGACTTGAAGCAGAATGTGTAACTTCTGAACACATGAAAAATGTCATGTAAGGCTGAGATAAGTAATTAATTCTTAGAGGTCACATTCTATTACAAGGCTAAAAGCCAGAGAAGCCAAATAGATATGATATTCAAATTAAATAAAGCTAGTCCACAAGCCTTTCTCCAAGTACATAAAGGACATTCACTTTTTCAAAGTAAACTCTGCTATCACTCAGGTTTCCCTCAGGTTAACTAGTACTCCTTTGGTGGTGATTCCAAAAGAGAAGCAGGGTCAGCTCTAGGGTGAATTATGCCAGATAAACAACGGACCAGAACTGAGTTGCATGTCCTTCTGCAACAAATAGGGGACACTCAGGTAAGACTGAGATGACAAGTGTAAGCCAGCTCTGCAACCAGTAATGGCTTGCAATGAATCTTAGGCAAATGACCACTGTGTCTCATTTCCTCCACTTGTAACAAAAACGCCCAAAACAGTGTTCAGACTGCAGTGCTCTCAGCCTACATCTTTTGAAGCCGTGAAAGACGTATAAAATATAAACGCCTCAATCTTACATTATTTCCCAGAGATTCTACCTTTGAAAGTGGGACCCGAGCGGCAGGGGAGATGGCTCAGTGGAATAAGCGCTTCCCTGGCAAGCGTAAGTGCCTGAGTTCAATCCCCGTCCCGAAGGAAAAAAAGAAAAAGAAAAGAAAGAAAAAAAAAAAAAAAAAGGATCTGGAATATATGTTGTAACCCCAAAGTTAAATAACTCCACACTGTAGCTGCTTGTATGGAGGATGTACAACACTGAACATATATCTTCTGAAGAAATACCGAACCTAGCTGGCACTGTCATGGCGTTACATCAGCTGACTGACCACACGCATTCTCCTGACACCGAAACCAAACTGGGGCAGGGGTCAAGTTCACACCGGCCTCCAAGTCGGGTGGGGGCCCACGGCTGGAATCGCTTCCGCACCGCGCAGGTGTTGACTTCTGAACCTGGCACCTTTGCTAACTCTGCATGACACAGCGCCTACGTTTTTAAGACTTGAGGCTTCCGCGAGCACCGACGAGCGCGGGGGCCGGGCCTTGCCCCAGCTCGCGCGCTCCGACGAGACCTGGAGCAAAGCCCCAACCTACCTCCCGAAGAACCGCGCAGCTCCACAGCCCGCGCGCGCCCCTGTCCCCGTCGGGGGGCGGCTGTGCGGCACGGCACGGCCGCGGGGAAGCCTCAGCACCTCGCCGCCCAGAAGGTGGCAGCCGGCGAGGGCGCGCCCCCGGATGTCTGCTCCGGGTCCCGAGGGTGCTGCCCTTCCCACCTGGACACCTCACACGGACTGCGACCCCGACGCGCAGCCCGGCTGTGACGCAGCCTACGACGCCGCTGCCTCCGCCCTCCGTAGCGGCCCCGCCAAGCCTGTGGTCAGCAACACGGACGTGGGGGGAGGGGTCGCAAAATGGACCGCGAGAGAAGTACCTCAACTCTGCGCCGGGTCTCTTCCTTGAAGTTCTCCTGCCGGCCCGCGAACGCTGAAGCCCCACCTCGCCGACCTTCCACCGCTTCTGCTTTGCGGCGGCTGCGCGCGCTGTCCGTGACGCAACATCCGGTCAGAGGCAAAATAGTTTAAGTAGCCAATCAGAAGCAGTCCTCTGACGGAAAAGCGGGCCCAGCGGGGGGAGGGACTTCCGGGCTGGTGGGGCGGGATAAATGGAGGATTGTTTGAAACGTCATAATCAACGCTCGTTTTGAGTCTGGGCTGTTGTATTTAGTCTTTACTTCGTACATGTTATCTCATGAATTAAATTGTTTACTAAACTGCTCGACTCTAGCAGTATTTTCTGTTCTTTTGATTCTGGTGGTTCTTTGTTTCTTCTCTTGCACTTCTCTGGTCCAGCAGCACCATTTCCACGTTCTTTATCACTACTAAATGTAGTTTTATATTTATAGTCCTGAAACTGTACTTTTCCATTAGCAGACCCCGTCTGCGCAGCTTTTCTTTTCCTTTAAATCTGTGACCTTAATATTATAGACTGCTAGACAGTATTAGATGTTTGGTTGAATTCAAACACTTGTAGTATTTAGATGCCAATAGAATATTCACCTCTGACAGGACAAAAAAATAAATTAATAAATAAAAATTTTTAAAAAAGAAAAAAAAATGGAAATAGAAAGAAGCAGTCAATGCTCTAATTAGCTTCGTCTCCTTTTTTTCAATTGTTTGTACTTTTTCTTTTCTTAATTTCTTATACATTGCTCCAGTTTTTTCTTCTTCCAATATCTGATAATATGAATAGCTGGTTGTAAGACAATACCATGTATTACAACAAATACTGTGAAATTCATATTACTTTGTTAAGTAAAATTCTGTATGAGTTGTCAAAAAAAAATAAAAAATCTGTGACCTTTGAATATTCATTTATTTAGGGATTCTTGTTGATCTATGGGTTTTTTTCAAAGCTTTTTCTCCCACCTCTTTCCAGAGCTTCACAGGTCACTCTGCTACAGGAGAATGAAACTCCCAAACTGAAAGATACCTGAGATGAGTTTGTATTTACTAAAACCAGAGAATGAATTTTAGGAAAAGTGGAGGTTAAGAGCAGAATTTCTTTGTTGAGGGAAAGAAAGCTTTTGTTTGAGAGAGGAACAGAAAGAGAACCAACTGGGTTGCCAAGATGTCTGCTATTTCTATGGATTTTTCTAGAGTAAAACCAGGAGGTGTGTGTGGGGTCTAAGGTGGAAAACATAGGACGTGGCGCATGAGGTGGCACAAAACTATGGTCCACTAATAAGATTACAAGCACAATTGCTTAGGTAAAATTGATTTGATCAGGATCAAATGGGAAGGAGCTTTTCCTGTAGGAGTTGGGTTAGTGACTCTTCCTGGTTTTCTGATGTGATAGATACCTAATTAGAATGCCAATCCCAGATGCTCATCCCTAGGGAGGTATATGGCTGCATTTGATCAATCTTTTGTCTTGAAGGCTGCCTGGCTGTTCCACAGTTGCAATGTGTCTTGTCTTCCATGTTGTCTCCTTGAGGACCTTGCCCTTACTCCCCATAGTAATTTTAACTCAGCTACCTATAACTCCTTTGTTTCTTAATGGTAGATTGTCATTATTTGCATCTTTGGCTTTATCCACTAGTTTCTTGGCATTTTGTTTAATTATTCCTCCCCCCCTTTTTTTTGCATCTCTGACCAAGACTATACTGTTATTTCACCATGATTTGAAAAAAAGGACGTGTGCCTCTTTTCTACTGGTCTGATTATGTAAGTCACCCCAAAACTTTAGCAAGCACTCAGTCTTTTAGAGATTTTATTTCAGTATCTTGTGCTAACTTGTTCCCCCCCCCCTTTTTTTTTCATTCAAGACAGTATCTCATTAAGTAGCCTAGGCTGGCTTTGAACTTTCAGTGATTCTCCTGGCTCAGCCTCCCTGGAATTACAGGCATGTGCCACCATACCCAGCCTTTGTTTTTCTTCTTGTGTAGCTCTTTCTTTTTTCTTTTATTGTCTTTTGAGACAAGGTCTCCTTCTGTAGCCCACAAACTCACAGCGATCCTCCTGTCTCAGCCTCCCAAGTGCTGGGACTATAGACATGTGTCACTGAGCTTGGATTTTGTTTAGCTTTTAATTTAGCCTCCATTTTATTTTTATTTCTTTAATTTTTCTTTGCAAAATAATCTTCCTTAAAAAAGTATTAGTGGGTTTGTGTCTTTGTATTTCTGGCCTGGAGTTTCTACAAACTTCTTATCAAATTCATTGCTATCAAACATAGTAAAAAAGTGTTGACCCCTTAAATGCTTTGTACAGTGTTCTCCTCATCTGGTTATTTAGTACTTGACCTTTATCATTTTTTGTTTTTTGTTTTTGTATTTAGTGCAGATTCTACAGGGACTACAGGATCTCACTACACAGATCAGACTTGTAGTGATTCTCTTGTTTGCAGCTTCTGAAGTGCTGGGATTATAGTATGCACCACCACGCCCAGTCTCAATCACCATCTCAGTGTGCCTTGCGGGTGGGGCCAGCATAGCAGGTGCGGGATCGGACCACCGACCTCTGCATTTGCCTAAGCAGGTGCTTTAATCCACTGAGCTATCTGGCCACCTTCTTTATTTTTAATTTTTTTAACTATTTATTTGTTTATTTATTTGTTACAGGATCTCACTACGCAATTCAGACCCATAGTGATCCTCCTGTCTTAGCCTCCCCAGCACTGGGATTACAGGTGTGTACCACCATGCCTGGTTTCAGTGGCCACCATGGCATGCAGTACCAGGGATTAAACCTGGGTCCTTGTGCTTGCCAGGCAGGTGCTTAGGCCACCTAGCTATCTCCCCAGTCCTTGATCTTCTTGACATTTATCTTTTAGTCATTCTTTGATGTCATCAAAGGTGACATCCATTGGGAAGCCTTTAATATGAACAGATTTTTTTTACTTTTTTTTGGTCATTTTGAGACAGTTTTACTGTGCATTCAGGATGGCTGTGAACTCACTTTGTAGCTCCAGCTGGCCTCAAACTCTTGGACTCGTAGTGATTCTCCTGTTTGCAGCTTCTGAAGTGCTGGGATTACAGGTATGCACCACCACCATGTAATCCCAAATGCTGGGATTACAGGCATGTGCCACCATGCTTAGCTTTTACATCATTTTTGTACTCATCCGTCACTTCAGGGAAAGGTTTGTTCTGAGGTCTTCTGGCTTTACATTTATCTTCACTGATTTCCGTGAGTTCTACTTTAGGTTTTCTCAATGCTTCCGCTATTAAAATCTGTTATTAGATGGCTGATCTTGTTGAACTTTACCATTATTTCCACAGGTACCAACTTTCATCCAACTTGATCTGTTCCTTTAAAAAGTTTGTCCTGTGGCAAATTGAAGTCTCCAAATTAATACTTAATTTGATGACAGATTTTGACCTGTAAAGCAGCCAGTGTTTTATTATTCCCATTTTCAGCCATTGTGGCTAATCTTTAAAACTGTGATCCCACACACATCATTGACAAGGACAGAGACCTCCCCACTTGTGAGCACCAGTGGCCTTTCTTGGCCATTTTAGGTCTGGACAGTGGGGGTCTCACTTTGCTCTTGTTTCAGCCTCTGTGCTTGTAGCAGATAAAGCAATTTTAGAATTGAACAGTGTTACAGTAGAAAATTATTTCTTTAGGGCTGGTGAGATAGCTCAGCAGACTAAGCACTTGCTTAGAAAAGTGCAAGGGCCAGGGTTCAATCCCTGGCATCACATGTGGCGCAGGCCCCACCCCCTGGGGTGCTGCTGAGCCAGCAATGAAGTCTGGGCATGGTGATGCACACCTGTAGTTCCAGCACCAGGGAGGCTGAAAACAGCAGGATCACTGTGAGTCTGAGCCGCCTAGTAAGACCCTGCATAGACACACACACGCAAAAAGAAAATTATTCCTTTATCCTGGTCTTTTTTCTTTAGTGCAGGGGATTGAACCCAAGGTCTTCACACTGAGCTACATCCCCAATGTTTTAATTTTTTTATTTTCAGACAGAATCTCCACGTCACTAAGTTGTCCAGGCTGAGCTCCAATTTGAGACTCTTGCTTCAGCCTCTCAGAGTGCTAAATCACAGGAGTATGCCACCACCCTCTGGTGTCCTGTACCTTTCTGATTGTCATTTTTTGGTGCCTTGTTTATGGTGAGATAAATAATAATGCCAGATTTCTAACTTGATCCAAACCACTTCTGGGGCGGAGGACAAAGGTTAGATCTAACCATTTGTAACCATTTTTTTTTTCAGAGAGGAAAAAAAAAGTTTTTCCTAAATTTTTCTTCTTTATTGCCTTGTAGCTTTGTTTTGACACTTTTCAGCCTTCTGCCTACACCTGTATAATAAACAGGGTGTATATAGATGGCGCTGCCTCTTAACCCAGGGTTTTCTGCAGACTTTTGAGATGTTTCCTTTGTTTTCCTTTTCTTTTTTCTTTTTTATTAATTTTATTGAGAAACAAATAGTAATGAGAGTTTCAAAACAGGTTAGTAGGACAGTTGCAATAATTAATACATTGCATATTGTTGTCTTCGTAATAGTTATTCATAGTACAAGATGCAGACGTGATATCCTGTCCAAACACTATAAGTACAAATCTTTCTTCTCATTGAATTAAGAGAAAGTAGCTGTATATCTATCCTATTTTGTATATACAGATACAAAAGGGTCCTTCATTTATATCCCCCTTTTTTGTTTAGTTTTGTCAGAGATTGGTATTCCATTGCCATTTAAATATTGTAGGTGCGTGGAAGTAATGTTATCAAAGCCATTTTTCCTATGCACAAGGGAATTTTTCTCTTTATTTTTCACTATTTCTCTGTTTGATATAAAACAAACATTCACTGATGCCTACTTTTTTAATGTATTTAATAGAGGGTCTCACTACACAGATTAGACTCCTAGTGATGCTCCTGTTTGCAGCCTCCCAAGTGCTGGGATTATAGGTGCACTCCCAGTCTCAGTTGCCCTCGAACCTGGGTCCCTGTGTCTGCTTAGGCAGGCGCTTTAATCCGCTGAGCTATCTGGTGGGCCTTGAGGCCCACTTTGAACCAAGCACTCTTCTGTGGATCTATACTAATGATTAAAACACT